GTGAGAATGGAACCAGCATTACAAACTTGGCAACTTGGCTGAAATTAAGCGTAAAGGGTATGACATCTGGTAATAATTTAAAATCATGTAATCTCTATATTTAAGGATAGCCCTGAAATTTGAAATTAATTTAACAAAAATCTGAAATCTGAAATTCTGCCAAAATTAATTCATAATTAAAATTAATGAACCCGTAATTCCAGCCAAAATCGAAATTCAATAGTTCCTGCTGGAATTAAGTGCATAATTCCGGCTGAATTTACATATTTAATTTCAATTTTGGCTGGAATTTCAGATTTCAGAAGTTTGGAATTACGGATTATGGGTTCAGAATTTTGGAAAATCTAATTTCAGGGTCATCTTTATCTCTATTCAAAACATCTCATGTAAACTTTAATAGAAATTTTACTTTATTTTAAAGTTATAAGAGAGGTTTCTAAAATGATCTCATAAACAAAAAAATCTGATCACATGACTTAAAACCTGTGATATAGTCTAAGGATAAAATATAATCCAGATAAATATAGATCAGATCTGGGATAAAATTGAATCTGGGATAAATCAAATCCGAGATAAAATATAGAATCAAATCTGGGATAAAATATAGAATCAAATCCGGGATAAAATATAGATCAAATCCGGGATAAAATATGGATCAAATCTGGGATGAAATATGGATTAATCCGGGGGTTGACAATTGGGTGTGATATAATTTTTGGTGAATTTTAAGGAATTAATCTGGGGTAAAATGTGGATCAGATCCGGGATAAAATATGGATCAAATCCGGGGTGAAATATAGGAAAATCTGGGATGAAATATGGATTAATCCATTTTCACCCCGGATAAATCTGGGATTTGATCTGGGGTTTAAACCCCAGACTTTTGAACAGCATGGCGCCTCATAATAAACTACCCCAAGAACACCCCAAAAAATTCTGCGTAAATCATGTGATCATCACGTATCACATGATTGTGATTAAAGAGTTACGTAAATTTAATGAAACTTTAAAGAAAAACTTTATTATTTTATTACTTTTAAAAAAAGAAAATATTTCATAAATTTATTAATTTACTGCCTATTTACAAAATAAATCACTTCTCTAAAAACATTGTATGTTTATCGTGAATGTGTGTGGATTTGTAATCTGTCTTTCATACTTATCAATATCAGTTACTAAACTTTTAATTCCCTTAAACTTGTCTGACTGCTTGTCCCATCTTTTATTACCAATATTATCTTGTTCTTCTACAATTTTCAATGCTTGACATAGTATTAATTTGTAATCTTTAAAAAGTTGCATCTTTTGGTCGTCATCATCATCACTCATTGAATTTACAATTGCGAATTGAGCAGTTTTTTTATTATCCATTAAACTTGTTATATTGCTTAATGTATTATCTAAAAAAAAAATAAAAAAAAGTTTATTTTTGTTATTGTCAATATGGTAATATAAATATTATTTACCTCTATTTGAATTAGAAGGTGGATTTTGCATTGATTTTTCGCCTGGTAAAAATATAAATGGATATACTATCTCTTGACGTTGAACTTTGTAAAAAAAGTACTAGGATTAATTGTAAATTGAGAAGATGCTTACAATTTAAAATCTTTTCACCATGAAGGTTTTTCACGACCACATAAATATTTATTGTTGTTAATGATGTGTAAGAAGAATATAAATTACTAAATCAAGGCGTGGTCGAAAATTTTTTTGAAATATTGCAATTAAAATCTATACTACTAGTTAAACCATTTTCTAAATATCCATTAGTGTTGATTTCTAAAATTCTTTCAAATAATTGTTTTGACATTTCTTCTAGAGTTAAAGTTCTACCTCTGTGTTAGTAGATAATTAGATTGTTCATATTGCAAAGTAGCTTTATGATGACAATATTACAAATTTTAAATTGCTGAGTATTTTCGTTAATGTTTTTCAACATTTTTTACATTTTTGTAAATTATTAGTAGTTACAATATCCATATTGAAAGTGGAAAGGCGAAACTTTAATAAAAGATTAACTGACTAGTAATATTTATGTAAATTACGTAACTCTTTAATCACAATCATGTGATACGTGATGATCACATGATTTACGCAGAATTTTTTGGGTGTTCTTGGGGTAGTTGACTTTATATGTATAGCTCGTGACACAAATTAAACATTTTTATTGGTTAAATTAGTATTATATGTATAATTGAATGTTATTGGTTAAAAAAGATCTTACCTTGGAGGAATATTAGCTAATATATCATGTTCACTGCCCTTACTAGTTTCACAATTCTTGCATGTCCCATAAACCAAAAAAAGATTAGGTTTCCCGCATTTTTAAGATAAATGATAATTATTCTTCCCATTTCGAGATAAACTTATTATCACAATGAATAAATAAATAATTCTTTAATGAACCCAAAAAAGAAATTATACAATTACTTTATTGTTTTACACCTTAAAATAGTAAAAAAGAACCGTATAGAACAAAATGATTCTGCTAATAAATGAGCATGTCTACAGATCGGCAGGTCGTTTCTCTTTTCTTTAATTTTCTTTCTTTCCTTTTTTTGTCGCTAAACAGCTCTTTAACTTAATTTTTCGGGAATTAAAAGTCATATGACTATTGTTCACAAAAAAAAATTTTTCGAACCTTTTTTTTATTCAAAAATTTTTGTATTTGTTGAATAATAACAAATATTTTATTATTTGATTTGACTTATAGAAAAAAGGGGAAATAAATAATTGTTCGTTTAATTACGGCGAAAAAAAAAAAAAAAAATTTAAAATGATAAAAAGAAACGACAAAGGAAAATATGCAGAAAAAAAACATTTGTAATTTCATTTGTCGGATAATTCTATTAACTAAACAAAGATCTAAATAATAATTATCTATAAATAATCTTTTTAATGTTCATATTTGATAATTTAGGAAAATACAAAAGTCTACTTATATAATATGCTTCTTGATGTATTTTCGGATGTGTGTATGTTTTAGGCAATTGAGAAATTATTTTACATCTTTTTACTTCAGAAATGTAGTAATCATCATGAAACGGATTTGCACCATTCATTAAATTAATCCAACTCAATTTTTTATATAAATTAGATGCAGTTGGTCGTTTTTTTGGTTCATTATCCCAACATTGTTGCATTAACTCTGCATAAAATTTTGGTGTATCATCCGGAATTTCAAGTCTCTTGCCGTCACAAATATTTTTTGCTAAACTAATATCATGTGCTTCACTATGCCAAGGTCTTTTCCCAGTTGCAAGAATATTCATAATAATACCAAATGAATATATGTCAGAAGCGGTATTGTAATTTCCACCACGTAAAATTTCCGGCGCAATATATGGTAAAACTCCATATATCTGTCCTGAATTATTATATTCACATGGTCCATAAAGACCTACGTCACCAATACGAGCATCAGTAATATTTTTTTCATTCTCAATAAGTAAATTTCCTCCATGAAGATTTCTATGAATTTTTCCTTCAACATGAATCTTTTCAAGACCTTCAGCGATGCCCCGTAACATATCTATTATATCTTTCCAAGAAAGAATTCTATTGTGACGATCAAGGTATTGGTATAAATTGCCGCTTCCATAATATTTCATAACGATCATATAATTGGAAGTTGGGTCTTTTGTAATTCCAAATGTTTCGGCTAACGATGCAGATTGTAAACAATTGTGATATGTTTTAATCTAAAGTGGAGAAAATAAAATTAAATTGTATATTTTTTATAGAAACAGATAAAATTATTATAAATGTTAATTTTTTTGTGAAAATTTTCTTTTTTACCAAATGACGAGACGCTAAACAAGGGTATATTATTATTATTGTTTTTTATTAGCATTCATCGTTACGGCTGGTATGATTCTTTTTGAATTGTTAAACATAAATAATACCTGATAAATGTAAGAGCTTGAGATATTTAACGAGTTGTCCAGACGTCTTAAAGCAACATAAGTGGGTCCAGCTCGAGTCCATTCTTGCGCATCATCATCCCAATTCCATCTAGGTCCTTCCAACCAAAGTGCAGAATAGACACTACTAAATCCACCACTGCCAATATATTTGAGCATTTCAAATTTCTCGAACGGGATCCATTCCAAATAATCACAAGTTTGAGAGGCATTAAGTTGAGTATGGCGAATTAATTCATCAATCTCTTTATTCTCAGATGTCCAATAAAGAAAGCTTTCCTTCATGGAATTAGTTTCACAATCCTTGCACCATCTGAAAGAGATCCTAGGTTTCCCGCATTCGGGACAGTCTTTTAACTCTTTCGGAATAAACTTATGTCCTTGATAGTTATTCATATTGAGATATGAATCTGTATTCATAAAAAAATTTGTATATAAGAAAAAAAACCTCGAAAAAATAAAAAAAAAAAATAACCAGCAAATGAAAAAAAAAATAACTTCAAAAAAATAAAAATAAAAAAAATAAAAAAAAATTAACTTCAAAAAAATTTTGAATCTTTTTATACTTATTAAAATGCTTCATATTAAAATGCTTCATAATTATAATAAAGCCTTATTTATAAAGCACTTATGTATTAAAATTATTAAGCATAGATAAAGTTATGGAATTCGGTAATACAACATCATAGGGAAAAACCTTAAAGGCTTTCAATTGTTAGATATATTATAATTAAGATATACAGTACAGTATTATAATTTAAAAGGTAGAAGAATCGGTAATAAATTTAAGAACTAAGTATGAATAATATGACAGGTTACGCCGATTATACTGTTTAATGTACTGTATGTGGCGCATGTTTTTAAAAAAAACGCGTACAAGTCAAAATTTACATATAAAATTCATTTTTTGTTCTAAACCTGCAGAGCGTGCGAAATTACATAATTTTGGAAGTTAAAAATAAGTTTATTAAAACTTTTTTTTTTTTCAAGGAAAAAAATTTTTTCGTAGAAACAATCGTGGCGCCGCGAATTGAATCGTATATGACGATAATTTGCGTGCACGAACAAAAATAAACAAAATGAAAATACGTGCGAGTAGTACACAAATTAAAAGGACGTGTATACGTATTAAGAATAATAAAAGTCTTTAACATTAATCTGCAAAGTTCAGGGTAAATTTTACATTCTAGTAACGACTAAGGTAAATATATATATCATTAAGTAGTTGTTCATTTTTATTGCGTCATTATACATAATGATCTGATCGAGTGCTATTTTTATTAGGACTTATATAGGTTTATACAAAGATCACCATATTGTTAGTCTGTGACACTTTGACTTGACAGATACTAAAAATTGTCAATTGAATGTATAGTATATAGTATTACTAAAGCAGCTTAAATTTAATAATAACCTTTTAATATTTATTGAATATGACATAGGCCAAAATTATAAAAAATTCCGCAAGAATTTGGGCCGCGTTGTGCAGATTCATGAGGTGACACATGACATTTAAATAATAGTTACAATTTGGGATTTATAAAATATTATTTTTGAGACAATAACGTTACTAGCAGTAGTCTATTATTACTTTAATTCAATTATAGAGTATTGGTTTACATGATACAGTTACTAATAGTAGTAATTAGTAAAGCATCAATTACGTGAGGTATTGATTTTATAAAATTGATAGAAAAATAAATATACATACATGCTTGAGAAGAATGATGGTATAAAGAAAGAAAGAACACCAAAAAATTTGTGTATTGAGGACGCTCTCACTCTAGGTTACCGGGCTTTCCACAGATTACCTAAAGGGAATGAGCGTGAATTTTAATTGTATTTAATAAAGAATAATAATAAAAGTAATGAGTTATCTTCTGACTTTAAGTTTATTATAGAATTTCGTTAAAACATAGATTAATAAAGAGGCTAGGCCTAATTTGGTAAATATTTAAAATTTTCCAAAAAAAAAAAAAAAATGAATTCGAGATTAATTCTCTTAAAAAAAATGAGCTGCAAAAAATATTGCTATACAAGACCATTATTTTAAATCTAATAAGGTTACATATTGAATTTGAGTATATTGCTCTATACGAATCTAATAAAAAGAAGTTCCAGAGATTTATTAAATGTATGAAAATTTCTATAAAAAAGAATTCTAGAATTCTAATAATTTTTAGTTACAGCTGATTGAACCTGATTAAATTATTTATAGAAAATTCTTGTTAGCTTAAAACGTACGCTGCATGTGTTTCGCAAGTATTCCTTTCTATATGGAAGATATTAACGTGTTATAAAATCATAAAATGCGTAATAGTAATAATAATGAATGAATGAATGAATGAATTGGTAGTTATAAATATTTCTTTGAAGAAAATTATTCTTTTCTTTATCTTAAATATAGATTTCAATGAAATCGGAAATCCTTGTACGTCAATGAAAACAAGGTAAAGTTAAGAATTCAATTGTCTAATGTATTATATGCGCCAATCATATATCAGATATCCTTCTTTTACAACAATACAACCTGTTCGGTTATTCATATATCCTTTAGATATTACGTACTAGTACAACCTCGATTTTCTTTATTACTAATGATATATAAATGGTCTAAATAATGAAGTCGAGACACTTTCATATGTTTATCTGTCTCAGTTTCTTTAATCGTGTATTACAATATAAAAATATCCTGCTCAGCATAATATTCCCTTCTATGGATAAAATTTTAGATTATCATGCTAATTTTGTCATTATAACTGATACTTTATAATTCCTTTTTTGGCCACTAATTTATAGAGACAAACATGTCAATAAAAACCTATTAGTAATAATTTAAATTAATAAATTTTCATGTGCTTAATGAGTTTTTGTTTCAATTAAAAATGATTATGACGCAGATAAGAATATTTTAAAAGTACTTAATACCGGCAAATTCTGGTAAATTCCGGTAAAGTGCTGTTTGAATAAATACATCCTCAAAAACACTTTATTATAAAAATAAAAAGTGTATCATCTGATCAAGTCATTTGCTATCATTAATATCTTTCTATTATCCCTAGGTACGATCAATACGACTATCATCATATAGGCCACGTTTTTAAATCATGTAATTGATAAATAATTGTACAAATCTAATTATATTTGATTGCGACATTATACATAATGATCTGATTGAGTGCCTATTGTTAAAATAAATATGGTTTTGACACTTTGATATAATCAATAATAACAGATAACCTTTTTAATATTTATTAAATATGACATAAGCGGAACGTACTGAGCATAAATTACTATTATTGGTAAAGGCCGGTCGTAATTTTAAAGTCTTAAATGTTTTTTTTTTGAAAACTTTACTCATTCAGAATATTTTGCATTTGTTAATCCAATTTAATTTAAAAAAGAAAAAGTAAATAATTATTAAATTTATTGAAAAATAAATGATTCATTTAATCGCAATAAAGAAAATTGAAATGATAAAATAAAAATTTTGAGAAATATGTTAAAAATAAATAAACTTTGTCTGAAGTTGAGTTAACGAGAGAAAATTATAAATAGATGACAATAAAGACATACTGTAATGAAGATTGTGTAGCAGTGTTTAACTGCACAACATTTTGTCATCATTGGTATCGCGGTATCGCACATAAATTCGTATGATATGCTACGAAAAAGATGATTTATTACAGAGGGCGGCCAAAATTATTCGGACAGCCAAAATTATGCAGATTATCACATGTTAATTTTGTACTAATAAAACAAAATTTCTATATTTTAATACTTTGTCATTTCAGGATTATATGAACCCAATTATTGCACAAATTTTACAATTTGTATAACGAAATACAAAAGAATTAAATTACTATAACTTGGTCAATATCAATCAGAACATTATAAATTTACCGCCATTATCACCTTAATGAGACGAATTTAATGAGCTAAAAATTATAAGATATTATAGGAAATGTCTAAACTTAATGTCTAAACAATTTAAAGTAAAATTACATGCTAAATATCGATCTCACAAATACATAATTATTATCATTCGAATCCTTTAGCAGCCGAGCAGAAACCTTTCATAAATGTGAAGGGTATGGGTTATTTCTCAAATATCCTTACATCCTGTTTTTTTTTCTCCCTCGCTGACTTCGCCTTAGTGAGGTTTTTAATGGACTAAGGTATATACTGGTTCTGGAGGAAGAATCTTCCTTGGCTAATAAATTTCACTTCACTCACTGACCATATTGAATTAACTCAATGCTAACGTGTTTATTAATAATAGGAAGATTCTAAAAATGCCAATGTGTTATTGAAGAATCCCGAAATTTTAAAGACAATTTACAAAGAGCCTGAAAAAAGAAAAAAAATGACGATTTGGTGAGAAATATTTTTATTTATTCATTAAATGATTTTTACTACATCAGGATGATAACTCTCTCTTAGGGAGAGAGCTTGATTTGAAAGGACGAGACATTTGCCTAAGGGAGAGAGAGGCTAAACTTTGCAATGAATCATAATTGAAACTTCATTTAAATCTCTCATTATGATTCGACCAATTGCATGTGTTGCGAAACTTTGATTATTGGATGATTGCGCACTAATATATTATTAGTGATCAGTGAATGATCATCATAATTTTATATGGTTTTTTTTATTTTATTTTAGTATATTTTTATTATAGAATTTATATTATCGTTTTTTTTTATATTGTTTTATTTTTTTATTGTATTAGTATATTTTATTATTTTTTTATTAGATATATTAGTTTAGAGCTATTTTAGAGCGTTAGCCAGGGACAATCATGATTATGTAAACAAATTGGCGTTGGTCAACTTATCACAAAGTGACCTTTGACAAATTGTTACTTGGACGAAGTGTGTAAGTTGTCTAAAGTCAATTTTGGCCATAGACAAGTTGTTCTTTGAATTTTTCATTATAAATATCTCCCCAAATGGATGTGGGAGGAAGGATAGTTTTTTTAAAGTTTTTTTTTTAGTTTTTAGTTTTTTTTTTAGTTTAGAATCAAGACCTTTAGACCCTAAAACAAGGTTTTCTCTCAAGAAAGGTTGTTTTAGTGGAAGTTCTTCTTGATCGGGAATTTATTTTTGTGTGTTTGATATAATTTTGGTTACTATAGAGCGCCGAGTGAGGCAGTAGTAAGAATTTTATTGAGATATCAACGCACTTTTAATAAATTGCTCATCAATTTGGATTTTGCTCCGGTAAATTGACTTGATCTACATAAATTAACACTAATTTGATTGTGAATCATTATTTTATTATCTGTTATCACCTGACGCCCGACGAAAACTGGTGGTAACACATGTTAAAATTCATTAATATAAATACTTTCTCTTTCCGACCTCATTAATAAATTTAAATAATTTTAAATTGCATGAAAATTTTCGAATAAATAATAAAATTATTGTTTAGTTATAAATTGCCGTCCTTATAATTTTTGTAATCTGTTTCAGCCAATAACCTGAATGTTATGCTTTAGCCTATTGGAAGGAGTATGTTGATCATGTGTTTCTACTTATAAATTTTGTTGGTAAAAAAAAAACAAATGTCGGGAGCATATGACCGCGATCACATGTTTAAATGACTTCCGCATTTTCAAGAAATGCTTGTTAACCTTTTTTGCTTACTAATGTTTATTCCTTTAACCAGAAAAAGAAATTATATACCTAATAAATTAATGATATTCATTCAGTTTTAAATGAACTCATATATAGATTTATGAAAACAATGAACACTGTTTTTGGTATTTACCTTAAAGTGTTATAAAATACGCCCTAAAAACGAACAATGAAAGACTAACGAGTTCTGGCTAATAAAGGACGGGCGTAACGAGTACAGCAGATTACTATCATAGGTAAAAGTCCGTAATTTTAAAGATTTAATTTTTTTTATTCAAGACGTTTTTTGTACTAGTTTCGCTAAATACGTGCTAGTTTTATTCGTACCGCACTTCTTAAAATAGCACCATTTTTTAAGAGTACCCAAGTTCGCCAATAAAGCAAGTATGTAATTGTAGTCCTTTTTAATTTCTTGAAAAATCGACATATTGGGCGTTTTATAATTTTTAAACTAGGTATCATGATATTTTTTCCAACTGAATTATATTAAGTAACATTCTATATACATTATCTTTAATAAATCATATTAATATTCGGCTCAAACATTTATAATTCAATTTATCATATAAAAAAAAGAAGGAAAATAAATGTTGAAAAATAAATTGTTCATTTTATTACAGTAAAAAAAAAAAAAAATTGAAATGAATAAACAAATAAAACGAGAGAGAAAATGTACGGAAAAAATTCAATAATAAACTACATTAGAATACTAATTGTTTATAAATTTGTTTGATTAATAATTATAATTCTGGAAAATATAGAAGTCTACTTGTATAATATGCTTCTGGGTGTATTTCCGGATGAGTATATGATTTAGGCAATTGGGAAATTATTTTACGCCTTTTTTCTTCAGAAATATAATAATCATCATCAAAAGGATCCAGAATTAAATTAATCCAATTTAATTTTTTATATAAATAAGTTGCAGTAGGACGTTTTTCTGGTTCATTGTCCCAACATTTTCGTATTAATTCTACATAAAATTTCGGTGTATCCTCAGGAATTTCAAGTCTCTTACCGTCACAGATATTTTTCGCTAAATTAATATCGTGTGCTTCATTATACCAAGGTCTTTCTCCAGTCGCAAGTGTATACATTATAATACCGAATGAATAAATGTCAGAAGCGGTACTATAATTTTCACCGCGTAAAACTTCCGGTGCAACGTATGGCAAAACTCCATAAATTTGATCGGAACTTCTAGGATTATATCTTGGTCCATAAAGACCCACATCACTAATATAAGTGTCTATATAAACATCTCCGGTATCTATAGAAATTTCTTCATCTCCAATAAGCAAATTTCCTCCGTGAAGATTTTTAAGAACTTTACCTTCAGTATGAATTCTTTCAAGACCTCCAGCAATACCCCATAACATGTCTATAATATCACGCCAAGAAAGGATTCCATTGGAACGGTCTAGATATTGGTACAGGTTGCCACTTCTGTAATACTTCATGACTAACATATAATTAGAAGTTGGATCCATCGTAATCCCAAACATTTCGGCAAATGAAGCTGACTGAATACATTTATGATGTGCTTTAATCTACAATTTAGATGAGAAAATTTTAAAAAAAGAACATATGGATATTATTATTGTGCTTGTTTTCAGGAAAAAATTAAAACCCGTTTAATTTAATTATAGTTACCTGTTCAACGTAAGAACTTGTAATATTTATTGAATTATCAAGTCGTTTCAAAGCAACTTTTATTGGACCAGTTCGAGTCCATTCTTGCAATCCATCATCCCAATTCAATCTGGGTCCTTCCATCCAAAGGGCTGAATAAATGCTACTAAATCCACCACTCCCAATATATTTAACCATATCAAATACCTCAAATGGAATCCATTCCAAATAATCACAAGTTTGTGAGGAATTTAATTGAGTATGACGGATTAATTCATCAACATCTCTATTTCCTGATGACCAATAAGGAAATCTTCCCTTCATAAAATCAGTTTCACAATCTTTACACCATCCAAAAGAGATCCTACTATGTTTATAACAGTCCGGACAATATTTTGATTTTCTCGGAACAAATTCATCCATTTTTACTTGTAGTGAAATAACGAAAGCAATGAAAAAAAGTGTATAAATGCAATCATGATATGAAAAATTATCAACATTTTGATTTGACTTAAATATTGAAAATTTTTATTGCAATTAGAATGCAACCATAAAAATTAATGTCATTGACAACAATTAAAGATTTCTTGCGATATTGTTCAACCCTTTTTTTGAGAATTTGGATTAAGAATTTGAATTGAGAATTTTCTTGTAATACTATATAATAAATTTCCAGGTTGATCGACGGTCATATGCCACATAAAAGAAAAAATTCTTGTTATGTTCTTGATCTAAATCATAAGACAATTATGTTATATTATGTTCTTTATTTGGTAACCAAAAAAACGCTCATTGATTTTTGTAAAGGGAAATCTAGTTCTTATTTTGTTTAGTTGAATTTGTAAGAATTTCAAAATCACATTTTTTATTTTTATAAACTTCAATACTGATAGTAATGCTAGTGAAATTAAAAAACTAACTTCAATTTTAATAATCTAATTTAATATCTTATTTTTCGATTGCAAGTTTAATTTTATAAATCGACAATTAAATAAATATCGACAATAAATAAATAAGAACAAATCTAGATAAGAAAAGATTTGATGAATATTTGTATATAATTTTTTTATCGTCTATAACTGAATAACGGTACATTTTCGAATTATAAAGACATTACAAAATGATAACTGACTTTCTGTATTCTATCATCCCAAATTCACCATGGTCCTTTTCTGCTATACTTTTTCACTATTTCAAGTTTCTCAAATGGAATCTCTTCCAAGTAATAAGTTTGGAAAACCGACATTCAAAGCTATATAATCACATGAAGTAAAGTTTCCTTCACTGGAATTAGTTCTACAATTTTAGCACCATTCAAAAAAGGTTTCAGGCTTACCAATTCTAAGAATCTCAATTTAATTCTTTGATATTGATCTAAAATGAGACTAACTGATTCTGGCTAATAAGGATGGACATATGGTCATTATTAATATGAAGTCGCAAAAAATCATAATTTAAAAATCCGAGAAATGGTGGTACAAATTTGTACATTACCTTTTGTTTCTTAAATCATACATATGTATGTAATACAGTACATGCAGTCGTATGTAATGAAAAAAAATCGTACATACCAATTTATTTTAAAAAATTCTTGTCGATTTGGCCAAATTTTCGATTTTTTAATTTTAATGGTTGAAATTAAGATTAATAGTATGGCTGAAATTATAATTCTCTGCACAATCAAAGCCAAATATTTATTTCATGATCGCACGATAAAAGTATCGAAAATTTATGAATCTTTGGTATGCTGTCATGAAGATAGTATTAGGCCACACAAATTCAATTTTTCGGTTCACGTAACATTGAAATTTAAAATCAACCCGGGGACCCGGGGTTTATTGTTTATTAGTAAAAAAAGTTTATATATAAAATCGTGACATTTGATTGGTTGACTTTTAAAAGGGAGGAATTTATTTTCGCTCTAGAAGTTCTCAGCCGCGTGATAAACTTACCCGCCAATAAAATTACGTCCTGATCACATGATAAATTTTTTATATATAAACTTTTTTTTATTGAAATTTGAAAAAGTGACCCGGCCGGGTGAAGTGAACCGAAAATTCGAATTTGTGTGGCCTTACATGTTAAAAGTTTAAATCATAACAATACTCACATACGTTAAATATATGGTAATGTACAACTATAGCTTACATATATTTTTACAAAATCGTACCTCTTCAATAGTTAAATAAGTAAAATTTGCAAAATACGTACGGCGGTTGAAATTTTTTGATTAACAATCCTGTTTAATAATTCAGGAAATACCAAAGTTTATTTGTACCTCCGGGTGACGGACATGTTTTTCGGATGAGTATACTTTTAAAAATAGGTTTATATATTTTCAACAGAACTTTATCTGAAACTTCAGAAGAATTTGGCCTTCCCATTTTTTATTTCGAAAAGTTTAGTATATATGATGTCGCAACCAAGCGTTATTTTAATAAAACTAAATTAGACTGTTTATTAAAAGAAGTATTTTCTATATATGAAATAGGTAGTTCAAAGCCAAAATAACACCGGTCTGAAGAAGTGCTTAGAGTTAACAGTAATTTTTTTTTTTTAGAAATCTAAGAAGCAGATCAACTTATTTTCGTACAACAAAAAGGAAATTAATAAATATAATTAAGTTTATTAAGAATAGTACAAAATTGTTCATTTAAATACAGTAAAAAAAAAAAGAATAATAATGAAAATAATAAGCAAATGCCTAGTTTCAGAATTCCAATAAAAATTCTAGAATCAATGAATAATGAATAATGTGTTATGTTTTATATTACAATTCGGGAAAATACAAAAGCCTACTTGTATAATATGCTTCTGGATGTATTTTCAGATGAGGATGCATTTTATATCTGTTTTTTTCATCATAATAATTATAATCACAAAATAAATTGTACCAACTTAGTCTTTTATATATAAAAGATGCGGTTGGACGATTTTCTGGTTCATTGCTCCAACATTGTTGCATTAAATCTGCATAAAATTTCGGTGTATCATCTGGAATTGCAGGTCTTAAACCATTACATATATCTTTTGCCAAATTATAATCGTGTGCTCTATTATACCAAGGTCTCTCTCCAGTTGCAAGAGTATTCATAATAATGCCTAACGAATAAATGTCAGAAGCAGAAGTATAATCTTCACCACGTAAGACTTCCGGCGCGGTATATGGTAAAACTCCATATATCTGACCTGAATTTTCATTTTCATGATCATAACATGGTCCATAAAGGCCCACATCGCCAATACGAGCGTCTATAGAGTTTTCTTCATCCTCAATAAGTAAATTTCCTCCGTGAAGATTTCTATGAGTTTTTCCTTCAATATGAACTTTTTCAAGACCTTTAGTGATTTTTTGTGACATTTTTATTTTATCTCCCCAAAGAAGAATTCCTTTGGAACGATTGAGGTATTGATATAAGTTGCCATTTTCGGAATACTTCATAACGATCATATAGTTTGACGTTGGATCTTTTGTAATCCCAAATATTTTAACAAATAGGTCTGATTGTATACATTTATAATGTGCTTTAATCTATTGAAAATATGATAATAAACAGAACCGAATTTGATTATTATAACATGTGATGATACTTTAGAAATAAAGAAGCCATTTAGCATACCTGATCAACATAAGAACCTGAAATATTTAGTGAATTAACAAGATGTTTCAAAGCAACCTTGATTGGGCCGGTTCGAGTCCATATTTGTGTGGTATAATCCCATTTCTGTCTTGGTCCTTCCATCCAAAGAGCTGAATAAACGCTACTCAATCCACCTCTCCCAATATTTGTTACCTTATCAAATGCCTCGAATGGAATCCATTCCAGGTAATCATAAGCATGAGAAGCATTTAGTTGAGTGTGACAGATCAATTCATCAATCTCTTTATTTTCCGACGACCAATAAAGAAATTTTCCCTTCATGTAATTAGTTTCACATTTCATACACCAACCAAAAGTTGTAGGATTATAACAATCTGTGCAATTGTTTTCCATAATTTTTTTTTTTTTATAATAGAAGAGTGACTTTAGTTATTGTTAAAGTTATTTTGTGATAAAATAGTTATAGAGCATACAGGTTTCTTTGGTAAAAATGTAGCCTTTTTATAATTTTATAATAATTATAAGTTAAAAATAGAATTCTTTCTGACTATATGAATGTTATTTTGCGAATAAATTAAATGGAATTTTGAAAGAAAAGAACAAAACAAAAGGAATCCGGTTCTTTTTGTAAATATTCCGGCTAATGCGGGCCAAGATAATTATAATTCGGGCCTAATACCTACTTTTTAGTGTCGGTGTTCATTTTCAGTGTAGTTTAATAAATAGTGTTTATTCAGAGGTGTTTAGTAAATAAGGTTTTTAAATTAGAACAAGATTACCAAATATCCACGACCCATAAAGAAAATTCCATTCTTATATTATCCAAAAAGATTTACTATATATACATCAAATAGCGTATAACATAATGTGCTTTCATTATAACGGTTAACTTTCTCCACTGCGGAAAATAAATAAATAAATATAATGTATTAAAAGAAAGATAGTTTCATTAAATTCCCTTATCTATTTTAAGTATAAAGGAAAATGAAAGACAGTATTTTTTTTTTTTCTATCATTATTACTAGCTATCACTTTAATTAAATTCTAAACCGGGATGTACAATAAACTTTTACAATGAAATTAAGTTGTTCAACTTTTAAAAAAGGGAAGCAAATAAAGTAAAATGGTAGTAGCAATCAATGTTCATATGATCAATGGGTCATTGTAATTTTAATCGTACAGTACTGCAAAATAGGTTTAGTTAAAATAACCATGATCATGTGATTAATTATAATGCAGAATTGCAGATCGTGCTACCGAGACTGGAATGATCTTACTATTGCATGTATCTTTGACATTTTTGACGCATTACGTCATTTAGACTAAATATATTGGCCCTGTTCAATTCGGTCGAGTTTTGTTTATTTTGATTTTTCTGATTTTTTGCATAATACATGAAATATCCGACCTTTTGACCCATAAAATTTTTGGATTTTCTCGATCGAACGATAGAATGGTTTATTTTGCATATACCAAAATTGAACAAGGCTATTAAATTTTAGGTAAAAATTACTAGATGTTATCTGATTTTGGAAAATATATATATTGTTCAATCAAACAAAACAATTTTATTTATTTATTTTACACGAGCTTCGAAATTATAGTCAAAAATTCCATAATTTTTGACAAATATCAAAAACTTCCAAAAAGAAAGCCTGCAGTTTAGATAAAGACACGTCAAACTTGGGCAGAACATGAGAAAATTTTTTGATTTATATCACGCCTTTCATAAAGGGTAGATGGAATATGTATTCACACGGATTAATGAAACATGGGAACTTCAGTTTGATTCATGATCAATGGTATCAATATCGGGTTTATATTATGTATATTTGAATAGATCTTTTAATCTTATAACCTGAATTTACTCAATTTATTAAGTAAAAAATATTTAATTAATGATGTCATGGATTCCACTTTTTTTTTCAAGTTTATACCCTTACAATTAGATAAATCAAAACCAAAGGAAATAATGTGAAATAATGCCAATACAACTAAACAGTTGTGGATAACAAATTTAACACGACCATTTCGACTATATATTGATGCATTGTATTTTAATGAATTAGAACAATTAGGTTTTATTGAAACAAAAACTCATTTTAATTTCGTATGGAAATTCTTAAAAAAAGAGAAAGAAAAAATTTGTTAGTGAAAATGAAAAATAACATCATCACACGTAAAGTGTTAGTAAAAATTACTAAATTAAATATTAACTTTTATCACGGAACATTTTTATTAGTATATTAACTATAATCTTTAATTATTTTGGGAACAATTTTTTTTTCAAGTAAACGTAATATCTTTTATTTCTTCGTTATAAAATATAATATTCAAAATTATTGACATAAGGAATTATAAAATAAAAAATAAAATAAAAATAAGTTACAATAAAATTTCTTCAGGTAAGAATGAGTTATAAAATTTGCTCAATTACATCAGATCATGCTTGCAAGTTCAGAAGATGGATTCTAATATATATGATAACATGGATGATGATGATTTATTACAAATAGATGAAAGTAGCGATAGTAATGACAATATTTCAATTTCATCTCTTATTACTGATAATGATGAAACAAATACAAATCAATATTCAAAAAAATGCCAAATGTATAAAGGACTTTGATCAGAACTAAGGTTGCCTGCCTAAACCTCTCCAAAATTCTACGATTAGTTTCTCCAAAATTTTACTATAGTTTTATTATAGTTTTGCAAGGTTTTGGCAGTTTCGGCATTTATAATAAGTTTCGTCAGGTTTCACTTTTTTCCAGAGTTTCACCAACTTTTTAATAAGACTTTTATATAGTTTCAGAAAAGTTTCACCATTTCAGCATTTCACCAACTTGCCAAAACCCCCCTAATTTCTCCAGCAACCTTAATCAGAACAAATAGTATCCTCATATATTAAACGCACTCCAGCATAATTTGACGGCTCAAGGCATGTTGAAAATATAGCATGTGAATTGTTTTCTAGATTTTTAGGTAAAAGTTTCTCTTGCAAAAAGTTGAATTTTGAAGAAAAAAGAAAATTAAATCGAACTTTGTATGCTGAATTAATATGGCAAATAGATAGATCATGTGAGTTAATTGTAATATAAATTTGTATACATTATTTTCATTTATTAATATTTTAACCAGTGTAAAGAAAGGTGTAATATTTTAACACATCATATACCATCAAACATAGTTTATCATATTTCAGAAATAAAAGTTTTAATTGATAGTAATATGCTAAAATTAGTAGGAGACAAAAAGAAATATTATGATGAATATTTTAGTTAGGATGATATTATTGAAAAAATGAAGAAATATTAAATTATTATCACGAAAAAACAATAAAATGGCAATTGGAAATGATCATCATATGATTTAAAATTTTTTTATAAGTCATATGATTGGATTGCTTATTTTTAGGTAATTCATGAAGTCACATGTTGAATTTGCTTATTTGTATTAATAAAAATCTTGTGTGAGCTATTATAAAAATTTTGACCTTTCTTGTTACCTATATATATATTGTTTGGAGTCCTAAAATGATATTTTATGACATTACTTTACATATTTATGTGAAAATACTCTATCTATATAATTTTTTTATTTAAAAGCTTATTAACTAATTAATAATAAAATCTTATATTTATAGCTTTGGAATAGAAAGAAAAGGAAAAATATTTTTAATAAGTTGCTACAAAGTTTATTTATTTATTGTTATGTCATATTATGGGATTTTGTTTTAATAAAATTTATTTAATTGATTAATCTTTTTTATCTTGAATGCTATTTAAGTGAAATTTAGCGTAATAAACTATAGTTGGTGTGGGTAAATATAGTTAAAATTTAACCTAAATAACATATTTGAATTCTTTATTAACTTGTATTATTCATTTTGTATATAGCCTTTAAATTTTATATAAAAATAAATAAAAAACGAACGTCAATTAAATATTATTTTGGTTACGTGATTACAAATCATTTGTGGCTTGGCGTCAATTCCAATCTTTTAAAGGCTTTTAGCGCAAAAAAAAACTTAAGATTTGTAATCTTGTATTACATGATATACATTATATGTGTTTTTTGAGTGTGTTTTTTTATATAATTTTTTGTGTTTTTTTTGTGTGTTTTTGTCATCACCTTATATAAATTATTGAATTTCAACCATTTTGAAAATGGTGTAACTTTAGATATCAAGATAATCATGTGATCAGAAGAATAATTACCTGAAGGATAAATAATATACCGAATGGAATATGAATAAACATTCAGCTGATGAAAGAATATTTAACCGAAATAATTAGAAAATACATTATTATAGTTGTACAATAGTTAGTTATTTATAGTAATATTTATTTATAGTTCAGTTATTTATAATTATTTATATTATTAGATTAGTTATTATTAATTTAGTATAAATAGATTATTATCACGTTAATGAAATGATATAATATTAGGAGGACTTTGACAGTTTAATTTATGGAATGGACAATTTATGGACAATAACAATTATGGACAGTTTAGACAAAGTCATGGACAATGATAAATTGTAATGGAAAATGATAAATTGCAATGGAAAATGTTAAGTTTTAGATGGATAATCGAGAGATAATCAATTTATTAATGTAACTTGAAAAGATATTTAAGATCAAGGTTTTGGAGTTGATTGAACTTTACCAATCTTCGGATTGGAGTTGGAATTATTAATGGTTAAAAACCAATTTTCAGATTGGAACTGGAATAATTAATGGTTATTAAAAATTGTATTAGTTGTTAATATAGAGTTACTAATATGGTTTCATATTAGAAAACGTTTAATAATTAATAAAATTAATATTTAAAATAAAATTAATAAAACAAAATAAGGAAGTTATGAAAGCATTAAGGGAAATTATTGCAGTTTGAGATTTTGAATAAATTAAAATGATAAAATTTAAATCAAGCAAGGAGATATATATTTATAAATGTTAGGATTTCGTCTATCAGTATGTGGCAGATGCCAGTAATAACGGCAATAATGAAATGTTAACTAACATTTCATTCTGAAATACTAATTTTTTTTATTTTTTTTAGTTTTATTTAATGAAACATTTACTAATGTTTCATTTTATTTTTGTAGGTTTTGGCTTTACAGCTCCTGGATGGAATTTCAAAAGTAAAATTCCTTCAAAATTCTTTCTTTTATATTTTTTATTTAGCAAAATGTTTACTAACGTTTCTCTTTTTTGTAAGTCTTCATTGTTCTGGATACTTTCTGAAAAGAATTTTAAAGGTATACTTTTATTTTTTTTTGTTTTATTTTAGCGAAACATTACTAACATTTCAGCTTTCTAGGGTTTTGACTCTCCAAACAGAATTTTGAAGGTAAAACTTTGAAATTCTTAATTTTTTTTATTTTTTATTTAATGAACAATAACTAATGTT